GACCCGAAACATCAGCTTTCCTGCTCCTCTGACGCTGCCTGGCCTGCTGTGTTCATTCAGCCCCACACCTTGTTATCTCAGACTCCAGCATCGGCAGTTCCTACTATCTCATGGTTAATGTATGCATTCTTACCCCAGGAAAATGATTCACAACATACATGCAGAGTCACACACACATCCAACAAAGAAAGAAATGTAAGAATTATTTCACTTGAATTCAAATGCAATAAGTTAGTGTCTGATTAGGTTCTTTTAGTTGGTTGTGTACAGGACTTATGTTCGTAGGAGCTCAGGAGCTGTTGAATTACAGCAGAAAGTGTAGTAGTTTGAAGCAGGGAATTGGATGACTTTGCAAGTGAGACACGAGTTTCTTTTCAGGAATAAGATGTTTGAGAGATATTGAGATCAGAGGTAAGCATTAGGTAAACCTGGAGCTGCCTACTGTTTGAGTGTTACAAGCCCAAAAGGGTTACAGACATGGGTTGTATTGGTTCAAGAGGTGGCTGATGGGCCTATCTTCTCAAGGATGACCAAAGTTGAACAGTAAATGCTGGTCCAGCTAATGATGCCCATATCCCATAAATGAATAAAAAACAGCTCACTGATGAATGAAAGTTAAGGTGCATACCGTAGAATCCCTACAGTTCAGAAAGAGGCTATTTGGCCCAACGAGTCTGCACAGACTTTCCAAAGACCATCCCACCTAGATCCATTCACCTCACCAATCCCTGTAGCCTGTATTGCTACAGATGATCCAAACAAACCAGTAATTCCAGTTGTGTGATTGGAGCTTCAAGCTGAGAAGCTTAACTAACAAGGTTGTATTGATTCAGAGATAGTAGGAACTGCAGATGCTGGAGAATCTGAGATAACAAGGTATAGAGCTGGATGAACACAGCAGGCCAAGCAGCATCAGAGGAGCAAGAAGGCTGACGTTTCGGGCCTAGACCCTTCTTCAGAATTTTCTGGAGAAGGGTCTAGGCCTGAAACGTCAGCCTTGGGGCATTTAAGCAGCTATTAGATAGGCATATCGATGATAGTATAAGGTAGGGATGGAGGTTAGATAGACCTTAGGATTAGGGTAAAAGTTTGGCACAACATTGTGGGCCGAAGGGCCTGTACTGTGCTGTACTCTATTCTATGTTCTCTATGTTCTATGTTCCGCTCCTCTGCTGCTGCTTGGCCTGCTGTGCTCATCCAGCTCTACACCTTGTTACCTAAAGTTGTGTTGATGATCCCTCATGAGAAACTATTGCATCCTTTGGTAGTAAATGACTGTGTAGTTAGTTGCACTAAGTCACACCAGTGTGGGTTTTGATTGTCTCCTTTGTTCAGACATCTGGTCTACCAGTCCTTTGCATTAGCTTGGTTGGAATGTTCATGTAACGGAAGGAATGTCACATTCCAGGAGGTGCTGAGTTGACTCTTAGCCTGGTAATTGCTGCACATTTCTGGAAGCAGTCAACTTGTGCATCCTATATTCGATAGCTGCTATTTTAAAACACAGCAAGAATCCATTTCTTAAAAAGGAGAATTTAAGCAAAATAATACTTCTTAAAACACAGTGTAGGTGCTCTCTCTTCATGTTTGTTGGGCATAACAATTGATGGAATAATTAAACATAGTGAAGTGCTTCAGAGAGAACAATCCAGACACAAAGAAGGGAGTTTCATTGGAGAGATTTTGTGGAGGTTTTGGATGGGGTCATTGATGGAGGTATTGCGGGAGAGTGATCCTGAGTTAGAACTTGTGGCTGCTCCAAGTGAAACCCTGACAAGGTCTGAGTTGGAAGTAAACTAATGGATGGAGTTGTGAATCAGAAAGCAAGTTTAGAAAAGGATATGCTGTTGGTTCAGGAGCTGAGAGGTTGATGAAGGCCTGGGCAATGTGCGGTCCAGCTGATTCTTGATATGTTTGTAGTTTATGAAGGGCTGGCCTTGTGAGGTTGTCAACAAGCAAGTAATCTAGTCAGTAGGTGATGGGCAGGCTGTCTGCAGCAGAGGGAACTAGATCAGTGGTAGAAAGGTTGGATCAGGGTTTGAAGCTGGGCTCAGGGTCAGACATTGCATACAGGTTTCCTTGAGATCTAATTTAGTTAAACACCCAAGGAGTGGGCTGAATTGGAGGATTTTTTACCAAATTGGATGGCTTAGTCTTGCAAAATGGTAATGTGGTATTATCGTTGGACTGTTAATCCAGAGACCCAGATAACATTTTGGGGACCCGGTTCAAATCCCGCCATGGCAGATGGTGGAATTTGAATTCAATAAAATATCTGGAATTAAGAATCTGATGATGACCGTGAATCCATTGCCGATTGTTGGAAAAACTCATCTGGTTCACTAATGTCCTTTAGGGATGGAAACTGCCATCCTTACCTGGTCTGGCCTCCAAGTGACTCTAGACCCACAGCAATGTGGTTGACTCTGAACTGCCCTCTGGGCAATTAGGGATGGGCAATAAATGCTGCCTAGCCAGCGATGCCCTCATCCTGTTAATGAATAAAAAAAATTAAAATTGAAAAAAAACCCCTCTCCTCCATGCCTCCAGATTTTTTTCTTGATTCCAGTGGTTTCAGTTTTACCAGGGTTACTTGATGCCACGCTCAGTCAAGGGTGTTTTGATGTCAAAGGCAGTCACTCTTAGGCCATCAGTAGAAATCAACATTTCTAATAATGTTAGAGCCAAGTATGTAATCAGATCAAGAGCCTCATGATCCTGGTGAAACAGAAATTGAGCATCATGAGTAGCTTATTTCCACTGAGTGTTGTTCATTAGAACTGTTGACAATATCTTCCATCGCTCTGATGATGATTCACAGTGGGCTGATGGGATGGTAATTGGCCGGTTGGATTTGTCCTGATTTTTGTGTACAGGACACCGGGGCAATTTTCCACATTGTTGGACGGGCATCAGTGTTGTTGCTGTACTAGAACAGCTTGGCTAGGGGTACAGCAAGTTGTGGAGTATGACCTTTCAGTATAAGCATTCAGTGCTGCAATGTTGTCAGGCCCCATAACCTTTGCAATATCCAGTGCCTCCAACTGTTTAATATCACGTGGAGTGAATCAAATTGGCCGAAGACTGGCATCTATAATGCTGGGACCCACTGGAGGAAGCTGAGATGGATCATCCACATAATGCCACATCCAGTTGAAGATTATTGTGAATGCTTCAGCCTTATCTTTTGCACTGATGTGCTGGGCTCATTGAAGATAAGGATATATATAGAGTCTCCTCCTCCAGTGAGGAGTTTACTTTCCACCAACATTCACTCCTATATGTCCACAGAACTTAGATTTGATTCGTTTGTTGTGGGATTGCATAGCTCTGTCTATCACTTGTTGCTTATGCTGTTTGGCATGCTAGCAGTCCTGCTTGACAGAACCAGGCTGACACCTCATTTTTACATATGCTTGGCACACTCCTGACATGCCCTCTTGCACTGTCCACTGAACCAGGGTTAATCCCTTGACTTGATAATAATGGTTGAGTGGGGGACAGATGAGGTTACAGATGGAAATAATAAACAATTCTGCTGCTGCTAACTGCCCACAGTTCCACATGGAGGTCAGAGTTTGAGTTGCTAGATTATTTTGAATGTAATATAACATCGTAGCGAGCCACGTAATGCCATGGGTGGTGTCCTCACTGAAGTTGGAGCTCTGTCTCCATAATGGCTGTGTATTGGTCCATCCTATCAATATCATCTTTGACAGATGAACTTACACCCAGCAGGTTAATGGGGTTGAGATTAGATTGTCGAAGATAGCAAGGACTGCAGATGCTGGAGTCAGAGTCGGCACAGCGTGGAGTTGGAGGAACACAGCAGGTCAGGCAGCATCAGAGGAGCAGGAAAGTCGACGTTTTGGGTCGCGACCCTTCTTCAGAACGGGACAGGAGTGGAGCTGGGAAATAAATAGAGGGAGGAGGAGTGGGGCTGAAGGAAGATAGGTGGGATGGTGGTAGGTGGATGCAGGTAGGGGGTAGTGGGGATTGATCAGTGGGAAGGGTGGGGCAGGTAGGTGGGAGAGAAGATGGACAGGTTGTGTCAGGTTAAGGAGGTGAGAGGGAGGAGGGGTGGGGCTGGGGGAGGGGAGGTAATATGGTGATAGGTGGATGCAGGTGGGAATGTTGGGGCAAATAGGTGGGAAAGAATATGGACAGGTTGTGTCAGGTCAAGGAGGCAGGGATGAGAAGGAGGTTTGGATGTGGGATAAGGCTGGGGGTGAGGAGATTTTAAAACTGGTGAATTCTATGTTCAGGCCATCAGGCTATAGGCTCCTGAGGCAGAATATGCGGTATTGTTCCTCCACTTTGTGGGTGGTGTCATTGTGGCACTGGAGGAGGCCCAGGATGGAAGTGTCACCAAGGGAGTGGGAGCAGGAGTTAAAATGGTTAGCAACTGGAAGGTGTTGTTGATTATCATCAAGGGATTGTGTTGGTACTTAGCACTTGCTACAAACCCAGTCTGTCAGTTTGTCGTTGACCAGCCTGTATATCAACAGGAATGGTACTGAATCAGTCTGACTGGTTTCGTTCTCTTACTGCTTTGGTCATGATATAATACACCTTGAGTTTCTCGGCTATTTCAGGGTTGACCATGTTACTGTGGATCAGCAATCACATACAGAGCTGATGCTAGGCTTCCTTCCATGAAGTACATTTGTGAACCAGCTGGGAACCAGTGCAGCTGTTTTATGGTCTCCATTGCTCTGATAGGAGCTTTATAATCCTATTCATTTAAATCCAATTCTGCAAGGCCCTTGAGTTTTTACCTCGGGCCTTAGGATTATTACTGTAGTAATACGTAGCTGCAATGCTGGTATACCCTTTGGGATATCCCCTTCCGTCGATACTGTGCTGGTTTGATTCTCTTGAAGACTGCATCGCTGACCTTGTTGCAGATATTTGTGGATCCCAGGTTCTCCCAAATCACGCCTGGCCTGGGGGACTGCTGGAGCAACAGAAGGACAATAAAGTATTTGGTTCAAAAACAGAAATTGCTGGTAAAGTAAAGCTCAGCAGGCCTGGCAGCATCTGTGAAGAAAAATCAGAGTTAATGTTTTGGGTCCGGTGACCCTTCCTCAAAGTATTTGGTTGTGTTAATCCCATGGTTAAGAGTCGAGGTTAAATGTGGGATGCACAATGGCCCAGGATTAGAGCAAACTGTTTTACTGGGGACTGGGAAGAGAGAGGGAGCTGTTGGACCTGGGATTGCATTAGCTAGCAGAAAATTCTGAGAGTGCACTGGGGAGCCAGTCGGCATTGGTACTGAGACTGGGCTTTGAGCAGCAGAAGGTATTATTAACTGGAGGATGAGCTCTGACTAACCAAACTGGGACAAAGCAGGAGGAGCGCGGGTTGGATTTGGAAGAAGGGGAGCTGTGTTCTCACATGGTACAAAGTGCTTCCAACAGGTGGAACTGAATAATGGTGAGGACTGAGGTCTCCAAGGTGTTGTTCCAACATGCTCTGAAATGCAACACATGGTCTATTGAGCTCTGTACAATGTCAACCGAAAGGATTCCAGATCCACTGTCAGGTATTCTAACTGAGATATTTTAACATTTCCCAATTGCACTAGGTTTTCACTGTCATTTGCTAGACATATTTGCAGAATTTGAATGTCCTCAGAGCTAACTAATCTATTCCTTGCTAGGCAACTGTGTTGGAGGAGATGCCACCATTTCCTGAGAGGGAATCTTCAATCCTTAACAAGCTGAAGAAAAAGAAGGAATCCAGCAGCTTGGCTAATGTAGAGGTGGTGAAGAAGGAACAGAATGCTGATGTTAATGGTAGCTCTGAACCCACAGTTCTCCACCCCATGGTATGTGACTCAGAGTAGTGTTCACAATGACTTATGTGACAGTAACGGGTGCCTCTGTGTCAAATCAATAGATTGGTCACCACACAAGAGGCCATTCATTCTGTCTTGGCTGTACTAGCTCTTTGTAGGAGCAACTTGAATCTCCTACCTTCAACCCTCCATCTTTCCCTGTAGCTCTGTAAATATTTTCTTCAGGTAACTATCAATTCCTCAACTGTCCCCTGCCTCCACTACATTCTCAAGCGGTGCAGTCTGGTTCCTAACCATTCGCTGCAAAGAAGGATTTCCTTTGTGCCGTTTCAGATTCTTTTGCAGTGTCCTCTGCTTCTCAATTCTTCCGCCAATGGGAAAGGTTTCTCTCTATCTCCTCTGTCCAGACCCCTCATGATATTGAAGATGTCAATCAAGTTTCTTCTCAAACTTTTCTCACCTTTCACCCTGACCCTGACTTTCCCTTTTGTTTTACCATCCTTTCAACAATCTAAAACCATTTTACAACTTTCCTTCACTTCAGAAGAAGAATCCTATCCAACTTGAAATGTTTCTCTCCACACCTGCCTATTGAGTATATCTGTTTTTATTTGCTGTAACTTTCTTGCTTCTAACTTCTATGCCTCTATTTATAAAGCCCAGGATCCCATACACCTTAGTTACTGATTTCTCAACCTTCCCTACCACTTTCAGTAACAAAAGCAGAAGTTGGTGGAAAAGCTCAGCCGGTCTGGCACATCTGTGAAGAAGAAAATCAAAGTTAACATTTGGGGTCTGGTGACCCTTCCTCAGAACCATTTTCAGTGTTTTGTTTTACATATACAGCCAGCTCCCTGCATTCCTACACTCTTTAAAATTTTACTGTTTGTTTTATTTTGCCTGTCATTGTTCTTTCTTCTAAAATGTATCATTTACAAATTACTTTTCATCTGCCCAGTTTGAAATTGTGGCCTGTACATCCTTCTGTAACTCAGTAATATAAATTAATACTGACCCCTGGAGAGGCCAACCTTACCCCCCTGAAGTCTGAGAAACGACTATTTACCATGACTTGGTTTCCTGCCACTCAGTCAACTTCATATCCACGCTGCCATTCTCCCTTTATTCCATTGGCTTGCACTTGTCTGACAAGCTTGTTACGTTGGAATTGACGCTTTTTCAGAGCTCCTGTATGCCATTTTAACCTACTACGTTACCTCACCAAAAGCTCAAGCAAACCAGTTGCTCTTTGCAAATCCAAATTTGTCCAAGTGATGGTTAATTTTGTCTGGAATTATTGTTTTCAGCTTAAAATCTAAAATACCACTACGATATTTACAAAAAATATAAATTAAGACCATAAGACATAGGAGCAGAAATTAGGCCATTCGGCCTATCGAGTCTGCTCTGCCATTCAATCATGGCTGATAAGTTCCTCAACCCCATTCTCCCGCTTTCTCCCCATAGCCCTTGATCCCCTTGATAATCAAGAACCTATCTATCTCAGTCTTAAATTAAGATCTTAGTAATTGAAATAGAGATGAGGGCAAGGCGATTTGTTGTAACTAGGTGATGTAGGAACTAGTGGACACCATTTTTCTTCATAATGACCACATCTGTAGCAAGCGATGTTGCTTGAGGAACTCTGCCTCAGCAATGAACTGGAGTCTGAGCTTCAAGCACTGACACATCAGGGAGGGGGGAGTTACTTGGATGCTGTGTTTCAGGAGGCGGTCATACCCTTTAGATTAACCACCTCAAATACAGTTAGTGGTCAGGGGCAGGAGGATGTGACTATGAGTGAGCCATATAGAGGGATCCAGGCAGTAGTGCTGAAGGAACCTCAGCCCTTGAGCTTGTCTAACAGTTTGAGATTCTTGCTCCCTGTATGGATGAGAGGGGGCCAAAGGGAGGATGAGCAAAGCAACCATGGCACTGTGGCACAGGGAGCCATTAAATCGAGGGGAGAAAAGAGAACTGCAGATGTTATCAGGGATAGTGTAGACAGGAGAATGGTTAGGATTGAGAGACCGGCAGGCTGTGTTCCTGCCTGGTGCCTGTATTCAGGGTATTTCATCTGGGCTGCAGATGAACTTGGAGAGAGAGGAAGAAGATCCAGTTGGTCCACATAGGTACCAATGATATAAGTAGAAAAATGAGAGGTTCTTCTCAGCGAATATGAACACCTAAGGGCTAAATTAGAAAGCAGAACCAAAAAAGTATATAATCCCTGGATTACTACCTGAGCCACAAGTAAATTGGTACAGTATCAGCAAGATTAAAGAGATAAATGTGTAGCTGAAAGATTGGTGTGGGAGAAACAGGTTAGAATTCATGGGACATAGACACCATGAGGAGGGAGGAGGGAGTTGTTTTGATGGATGGGCTCCACCTGAATCATGCTGTGACCAGAGTCCTAGCAAATTGCATAACTAAGTCTGTGGGTAGGACTTTAAACTTTAATAGTGGGCGGTGGGCTCAGTTGCATAGAAAATTTATAAATCAAAGGTAAAAGAGAAGGTAGAATTTCAGGTTAGTGATGGGAATGATTGTTACCAGAAAATAAAAGGAAGGGACAGAATGCGTGAATGTCATATTGCATTTAGGAACCATAAAAGTTTAGGGAAATTTGATAATAGAACAAACTTAAAGATTTTGTATCTTAATGCACGAAGCATTCAGAATGTGGTAGACAAACTGATGGTACAAATCGAGGTAAATGAATATGATCTCATAGCTATTCCAGAAACATGGTTACAAGGAGATTAAAACTGGGGACGTAACATTCAGGAACATTTGATCTTTTGGAGAGACAGGTGGGATGGAAAATGTCGTGGGGTAGCACAGTTAATAAGAGATGAAATGAGGACAATTGTGACAGATAATCTAGGCTCAGATGATGTAGAATTCATTTGGGTGGAAGTGAAAGATGACATTGGTAGGAGTAATGTAGAGTCCCCCAAACAGCAGCCACTCTGTAAGAAAAGCTCTAAATCAACAAATAGCAGGAGCATATAAAAAGAATAGAGCAATAATTATGGGCAGTAATTAATTATCTTCATGTTGATTTGTTCAGAAATTGGAAAGGGTACCTACAACAACAAATTTATAGAGTGCATTAGGGATAGTTTCCTAGAGCAATATGAAATGGAACCAACCAGGGAGCAAGCTTTCTTGGATCTTGTCATGGGTATTGAGGTAGGTTTAATAAATGACCTCAGAGTAAAAGATCTCTTAGGAAGTAGTGATCATAACATGATAGAATCTAACATTATAGAAGCAACTGTGTTTGACTTAAATATAGGAATTTACAACGAAATGAGGATAGATTAGCAAGAATGTCAGCAAGCAAGCAGTGGCAAACATTTAAGGAGGTAATTCATGACTCGCAGCAAATTTACTCTCATCCCAGTAAGGAGGAAAGATTGAAAGAGAGGAATAATTAAGGAAGTTAAGGCTAATTAAGGAAGTTAAGGAGAGTATTAATTTGAAATAAAAAATGTATAAGGAGCCCAAAGGCAGCGATAGCCCTGAAGGCTGCACTCCTAGGTCCCTCTGTTCTATAACCACCCAAGACCCTATCATTAATTTTATAAGCCCCACCCTTGTTTGTTGTACCAAGATGCAATACCTCATATTTATCCAGTTTGAACTCCGTCTGCCATTTTTCAGCCCATTGACCCTTTTCATGAAGATCCCTTGGTAATCTTAGAAAACCTTCTTCACTGTTTACTATACCACTAACTTTGTTGTCTGTAAACTTACTGACCATACCTTCTATATTCTCATCCAAATCGTTTATATAGATGGGACTAGTTTAGTTTGGGATTATGTTCAGCATGGACTGGTTGGACCGAAAGATCTGTTTCCATGCTGTATGACTGTATGTCTGGGATAAATTCAGAATTGAGTAAAGGAGAACTAAAGGAATGGCCTGTTCCTACTTCTTGTAGCCTAATGGTCTAAACGTTTTCCCACCACTGAAAATAATCTGACAAGTCTGTAGTTCCTCAGTTTATCCTTGCGTCCTTTTTTGACCAAGGGTGTAAAATTTGCAATTTAACAGTCTGCCACCACATAACAGCTTCCCAGCCTAGCATAGTGGTCCCCCGGTGTAGAGTGCTCTTAACCCGGCAAGATAGTCTCCCAGCCATCTCCCAGCCTCATGATCCTCACGGTGAAGCTTGATGCATTCTGGAGTCAGGATGGACTGGAGGCTAGGTGCCAGCTTGATATGGGTTGGAAGACTGCTGTTCTAGATTTTAATTTCTGCAATGCTGGACATTTTATTTCTCTATTTTCTAAGATCTTGTAATAAAGAAACTGTACCTAGGTACCTTTGTACGTAAGATGGCGCTGTAAGTGGACATCTACAAACTTTTCCCTGTACTCATTGAGTATATGTGACAAAAAAGCTAATTCATTCATTCAGTTTCTCTGCAATTTCTGCTATTACTTCTCTCAGTGTTCTCAGATAATTCTGATCTGGTCCTAGTGACTAATCAACTCTACTCTCGTCAGCCTTTCTCACTGCCCTCTTCATTAATTTTTAGTCTGTTCAGTATCTCAGTCACTCCCTGTTTCAGTACAATTTTGGCAGCATCATCTTCCTTGGTAAAGACAGATAAAAAATACCCACTTAATATTCCAGCTATGCCTCTATGTGTAAATCCTTTTTTTGTCCTGAATCAGCCCTACACCTACTTTTACGACTTATGTCATTTTTCTATCCTAAAGAAGATTTAGGGGTTTCCATTTATGTTTAGGTGCCAATTTCTTTTGATGCTCCCTCTTTGCTTCTCTTATTTGCTTTGTCACCTCCTCTGAACATTCTATATGCAGTTTTGTTCTTAGTTGTATTTTCTACCTGATGCCTGTCATCATCGCACTTTTTCTTCTTATTATTTATTTCTTTCTCCTTTGTCATCCAGTGAACTTTGGATTTGTTTGTCCTACCTTTTCCCATCATTCTGAAGAACCTCAATGTACCCAAACATGTTGCCTTTTAAAGGCAGCCCATTCTTCCATTATGGTTCTGCTGTCAATTTGTGATCCTATTTGGACACAAATGGTTGCCACTGTAATGCCTATTTGAGGCTATTTTCAAGGTGTACCAGTTCGATCATTGTTGGTATAGTAACGTGGTTCAGACCTGTGATGCTTGTTTTGCACTGTCTGTGTTTGAAAGATAAAATAAGCTGCTGGCTTTCAATTGGAAACACTCCTGCCTCTTGAGTCTGCAACCAAACCCCGTTCCTGGCCTTGAGTTGACATCTTGAACAGTACTGAAGATGTTTGGAAGTTGAGAAGTGAATGTTGAGCTCCATTTGCTGTTGATAGAAACCAGATGGAAGTTCGAGGAAACATGACATTATTTGACACCACGTGCAAGAACTGTGAAAGAATACTGTATAAATGCAAGCTTTGAAGCTGGTGAAATTCATTTGAGCCATTTATTGTGCTGTTTTGTAATTGTAAAAATCCTGTGTAGTCTTTCACTCTCATACAGAGGAAGATTTTGTAAGACTGTGTTGTGATACTTGTTTTTTTTACAGCCCACCATATCCCCATCGACTGATCTTCTGGGCCTTGGATCAGTCCATTTGGTGAACCCAGCCCTTACCTATCCATCTCAAGGTGGTTTATTGTTGGACATATTCTCAAATGTGAGCCCTGGGGTGATCTCGCAGATCACCAGTGCTGAGGACAGTTTTGGAAGGTACTGTACACCAGAATTGGGTGACTTACTGGGAGTCTGGATCGGAAAATCTGCCAACATTTTGACTGACAAAAGGAGGCGGATTCCAGAGGAGGTTTCAAAAGAGAACTGGATATATATTTGAAGTGAAGAAGATAGAGGGCTACGGAGATAGTGCTAGAGAATGGGACTAGCTGGGTAGCTCTTTTGGGAGCCAGTACTGACACAATGGTTAAATGGGCTCCTTGTGTACTGTAAAATTATATGATTCTATGACAGATGCACTGAAAGATTTGAGTCATTTTTCCTGTGTATGACAACATTGAAGTTCCAGGTGTTACAGAAAATGGAAAGAGACAGACTGAACTTTCTCACCTTTACTGTCTGTAAATTTGATAAAGACTGAGCTATGTTTCCCAAATGCGTGTTTTATGCACTTTTAAAATGATGTGCAGCAAATCATTTAACCATACTCAAGGAGCATGATTTAATCAGGAATATAATTTACTCTCACATTCAAGCCTAGAGTGGTCTACATAACACCACACGCAAGAAAATTCCCTTCGTTCTCTCAGGTCTTGCTTACTCTCTTTCACTTATTCTCCCTCACTCACTCCCTTTCACTTATGGTCACTTGCTCACCCTCTTTCACTTATTCTCCCTCGCTCTGACTCTATCTCATTCTCTCTCACTCATGCTTTCTCACTTGTTTTCTCTCTTGTTCTGTCTTATTTGCTACCTAAAGGAAGAGTGCTAAATTGGGGGAAGGCCAACTACAGCAAGATTCGACAGGAGCTGGGGAATGTGGATTGGGACCAGCTCTTTGAGGGTAAATCCACACTTGATATGTGGGAGGCTTTTAAAGAGAAGTTGATTAGAGTGCAGGATGGACATGTCCCTGTGAAAATGAGGGATAGAAAGGGCAAGGTTAGGGAACCATGGATGACAGGTGAAATTGTGAGACTAGCAAAGAGGAAAAAGGAAGCATACATAAAGCTTAGGCGACTGAAAACAGACGAAGCTTTGGAAGAATATCGGGAAAGTAGGACCAATCTGAAACGAGGAATTAAGAGGGCTAAAAGGAGTCATGAAATATCTTTAGCAAACAGGGTTAAGGAAAATCCCAAAGCCTTTTATTCGTACATATGGAGCAAGAGAGTAACTGGAGAAAGGGTTGGCCCACTCAAGGACAAAGGAGGGAAGTTATGCGAGGAGTCAGAGAAAATGAGTGAGATTCTTAATGAGTACTTTGCGTCAGTATTCACCGTGGAGAGGGACATGACGGATGTTGAGGTTAGGGATAGATGTTTGATTACTCTAGGTCAAGTCGGCATAAGGAGGGGGGGTAGTGTTGGGTATTCTAAAAGGCATTAGGGTGGACAAGTCCCCAGGTCCGGATGGGATCTATCCCAGATTACTGAGGGAAGCGAGAGAGGAAATAGCTGGGGCCTTAACAGATATCTTTGTAGCATCCTTGGGCGCGGGTGACGTCCCGGAGGACTGGAGAATTGGTAATGTTGTCCCCTTGTTTAAGAAGGGTAGCAAGGATAATCCAGGTAATTATAGACCGGTGAGCCTGACGTCAGTGGTGGGGAAGCTACTGGAGAAGATACTGAGGGATAGGATCTATTTCCATTTGGAAGAAAGTGGGCTGATTAGTGATAGGCAGCATAGTTTTGTGCAGGGAAGGTCATATCTTGCCAACTTGATAGAATTCTTTGAGGAAGTGTCAAAGTTGATAGATGAGGGAAGGCTGTAGATGTCATATACATGGACTTCATTAAGGCGTTTGATAAGGTTCCCCATGATAGGCCGATGGAGAAAGTGAAGCTGCATGGGGTCCAGGGTGTACTAGCTAGATGGATAGAGAACTGGCTGGGAAACAGGAGGCAGAGAGTTGTAGTGGAAGGGAGTTTCCCAAAATGGAGAACTGTGACCAGTGGTGTTCCACAGGGATTCGTGTTGGGACCACTGTTGTTTGTGATGTACATAAATGATCTGGAGGAAGATATAGATGGTCTGATTAGCAAGTTTGCAGATGACACTAAGATTGGTGGAGTAGCAGATAGTGAAGGGGACTGTCAGAGAATGCAGCAGAATATGGATAGCTTGGAGAGTTGGGCGGAGAAATGGCAGATGGAGTTCAGTCTAGGCAAATGTGAGGTGATGCATTGGAAGATCCAATTCAAGAGCGAACTATACGGTAAATGGAAAAGCCCTGGGGAAAATTGATGCACAGAGAGATCTGGGTGTTCAGGTCCATTGTACCCTGAAGGTGGCAACGCAGGTCAATAGAGTGGTCAAGAAGGCATACAGCATGCTTTCATTCATCGGACGGGGTATTGAGTACAAGAGTTGGCAGGTCATGTTACAGTTGTATAGGACTTTGGTTTGACTACATTTGGAATACTGCGTACAGTTCTGGTTGCCACATTACCAAAAGGATGTGGATGCTTTGGAGAAGGTGCAGAGGAGGTTCACCAGGATGCCTGGTATGGAGGGCTCTAGCTATAAAGAGAGGTTGAGTAGATTAGGATTATTTACATTAGAAAGACGGAGGTTGAGGGGGGACCTGATTGAGGTCTACAAAATCATGAGAGGTATAGACAGGGTGGATAGCAAGAAGCTTTTTCCCAGAGTGGGGAACTCAATTACTAGGGGTCACAATTTCAAGGTGAGAGGGGAAAAGTTTAAGGGAGATATGCGTGGAAAGTTCTTTACGCAGAGGGTGGTGGGTGCCTGGAACGTGTTGCCAGTGGAGGTGGTAGAGGCGGGCACGATAGCATCATTTAAGATGTATCTAGACTGGGCAGGGAGCAGAGGGATACAGATCCTTGGAAAATAGGCGATAGGTTTAGATAGAGGACCTGGATTGGCGCAGGCTTGGAGGGCCGAAGGGCCTGTTCCTGTGGTGTAATTTTCTTTGTTCTTTGTTCTTCATGCTGTCACAATTCTCTCTTGCTCACCCTGTTCACTTATTCTCTCTTGTGCCAACTTTTCTGCTTAGAAAGCATACTATTGGGATGCATAACAGCCTGGTACGGCAGTTGCTCTGCCCAGGACCGTAAGAAACCTTCCACCCTTGGACTCCATTTACACTTCTCGCTGCCGTGGAAAAGCTGTCAACATCATCAAAGACCCATCCCGCCCCGGTAATACTCCCCTGCAACCTCTTCCGTTAGGCAGAAGCTCAGAAATCACTCGACACCGGTTTACAGTTCAACAGGTTTATTTGAAAGCACAAGCTTTCGGAGCCTCACTACTTCTTCAGGGTAATAACACCAGGAGAAGGAGTGAGGCTTCGAAAGCTTGTGTTTTCAAATAAACCTGTTAGACTATAACCTGGTGTTGAGTGATTTCTGACCTTGTGTCCACCCTAGTCCAGCACCGGCATCTCCACATCATGGTCAGGCGGAAGATACAGAAGCTTAAACACGTGCAACAACAGGTTCAAGAACAGCTTATTTCTTGGTGTTATTAGACTGATGAATGGGACTCTCTAACTTCAACTAATATTGATCTTGTTAATGTTGATCTTGCTTTGTGCACCTCCTGTGGAGCGTAACCTGTGTGCCTCACTGTCTAAGCATGCTACGATCTGTAAACCCTTGCTTACAATGATCTGCCTGTATTGCTCACAAACAAAGCTTTTCACTGTACTTAGTTACATGTGACTACAGTAAATCAAATCAAATCTTGCTCTTCACTTGTTCTTTCGCTTTCACTGTCTTTATCTTATTCTCTCTCACTTATCTTCTCCCTTATTCTCTGTGTTGCTCTCCTTATAAGATCATAAGACCAAAGACATAGGAGCAGAAATTAGGCCATTTGGTCCACCGAGTCTGCTCCGCCATTCAATCATGCCTGATAAGTTCCTCAACCCCATTCTCCTGCTTTCTCCCTGTAACCTTTGATCCCCTTGATAATCAAGAACCTATCTATCTCCATCTTAAATGTACTCAATGACCTGGCCTCCACAGCCTTCTGTGGCAGTGAATTCCACAGATTCACCACTCTCTGGCTGAAGTAGTTTCTCCTTATCTCCATTCTAAAAGGTCTTCCATTTACTCTAAGGCTGTGCCCTCGAATCCTAGACTTTCCTACCAATGGAAGCATCTTCCCAATCTTCTTTCACTTATTCCGTCTCATTCACTGCCTTTTGTGTGCTCTCTCACTCACTCTTTCATTTGCTCACTCAGCTTTGTTTGCTGGCTGTTTCTCTGTCTTATGTCACTTTTTCTGTCTTTCAGGTTTATTTGCAAAAATAATGGCGTGTTATTTGAGAACCTGCTTTTGCAGATTGGTCTGAAATCTGACTTTAGACAGAATTTGGGTAAGTTTTTGTTGTTTTCTTTGTATCTCTCTCACTCTCTCTTCCTCTACTGTCCTCCCAACAACCCCCTGCCTCACTTACTGCCCCACCTTCTCACTCTGATACTTGGGTCTGGTGTGCAGTTTCCCCGCTTTGTCCAGTTTTCCTGTTGGATTTGAAACTGACTGGAGACAAACTGGAATGACAGAGCAGTTGCAGTGAGATTTAAAGAGAAGAGACTTGGTGAACTGTCTTCTGGCCTCCAGATTGGAAGGTGAAGAACTGCCAGAAATGCTGCTTGTCTGCTGCTGGTTGGTCTGCTGTGCATCGCCAGCAGTTCCCAGAATTATTTGACATTGCAGCGATGCTGTTGTTGGTGGACCTGATGTTTGAGTGGGGAACATGAGTAAGCCTGTGGTGGTCCCAGTTCACTGCTGTTTGCACCCTCTGGTAGTGACCTTCTGAAGCAATGAGAGCAGGTTTCAGAGGCACCTATCCCAGTCTTACTCATTTCAACATTGATAGCTCATCCCAGAGTGACTCAGGTGTATTTTTGAGGATTTGGGCGTTGCTGGCTATTCCCCATCACTCATTGTCAAGAGTCCACCACATTCAAGGCATCTTTCTGACACCATTCATGCTCTGAGGGCTATTCTGTTCCCTTTTGAACACTTGCTCGCTTTCTCCCTCTCTTTTGCTCTCTGTCTTGTTTTCTAATGTTAGGGACAGAATATTTGCTTTGAGGTTTTCTTTCGTGTTCAAGCTGGTTTGGCTGGTGGGTAGCTGCACAGGGTTCAGTCTGGCAGCGTTGTGAGCTGGCTTCCCATTGCCAATCCATTGAGCCTGCTTCCTCCCTGCTGAGAGTACATTGAGAGAGACAGAGCCAGCTCAGGTCACCCTATAATGTCCCAGCCATTCAGTATGCCAGCTGTCACTGCCTGAGATTCAAGGCCATTTGTGCTCATAGAACTCTCCCCCGACCCCAGCACCTTTCAGACCAGAGGGGGCACAGTCAGCAGCAGAAAATAAAGTTCTCCTTATTCAGGTAGAGCATATTTCATTGCCTTATCAATGTGTACCCTCTACTGTGTTCTGCTTCATGGTTGTTGAAGATGAGCAGATATTGCATTAGAATCCATTTTCACTGCCATACTGAAAGTGAAGCCGTCCTGGAATTCTGATCTCCTTCATCATGGCTTGTGGAGTGACCTGGAATTATTTGGGATCATGGGAAGGAATATTTTGAGAATGGGATTGAATCTAGGGCTACAGGATGAGGAAAATGGCAATCTTGTAGTGACTTGTTGAATGTGGATGTTTGAGTGGCGTGTATCTGCTAATCCAAGTTCTCTCATTGCCTGCAGGTCGGATGTACATTTTTTATGGTAACAAGACTTTGACCAAATTTGTCGGTTTTACTTCAGTGATTATCTACCCGGGAAACCTTTCAGCCAATATCCTTTATGTGAAAAGATTTATTTGAAAGCGAATGCTGACTTGTGAGCTAGCTGTTACAGTCCTCTCCAATTCAGTAAGCAGACAGCAGCTCTTCCACTTGTTGGCTGTAGATTATCTGAAACTGCAGTGATTGCCGATTTTTGCCCAGATTCCTGCGAATGGAAGTGGATGAAGATGAATGATAGCCATGCTGGTGCTGGAAATATGAATCATTACGGTTGGATGGCTTTTTTTCTTCGTCTGCAGAAAATGTGTGTTCACAATTCTTCTCCAGTCTCTCACCAGCAGTCAAACAAGAAGAGTCATGTATACTTTTGTCCTTTCCTGAGTGCAGGCAGCTTCCTGGTGTCTCCTTGTATCTTTGAACCTGATCCAGTGTTTCTACAGCTCACTTTCTGATCTGAAGGACTGACTGTTTCACTGAACGGTCTCTATGTGTCAGTGAGACTGACCACGCACCATCCCTGGGATACAAGTGTCACGGAGACACAGACTTCCTGGAGGGAGGAAGAGGTGGTCAGTGAGGACTGAGTGACCATGGAGGAGGGAATTTGTTGGGACACGGTGAGGATGTGGGAGCTGGCCAAGAGACCTGTACGGGTAAGAAGCAAAGTGAAGGCCAAGACCCAGATAGATGCACATAGAGACACCCCTCACACTCTCACGGAGAGACACCCCTCACACGCACACGGAGAGACACCCCTCGCACACACATAGACTTCCTATTTCAACCTTCTTTGAGATTGGCTGCCTCGCACCATTCTGCCTGTGAGAGACCTATTTCAACATCGAATCAGGTTCCAGTCCTTGAATTTCTCAATGCCAAAATGTCTCTCGTGTTGAGTAGCAATCAACCTATCTTTATCTCTCCATGGCAATACCCATTAACAAACATCATTTAGTTTGCTCTGTTTTTCTTTCCAAAACAATATGCTGCTCAAAGGTCAATGTTCAGCTTCAACCCTTGGTTCCTAACCAAAAATGAGAAATAAAAATAATGAAGGCTGCAACACTGATGACAAGCAAAGAAGATAATTCTTCTGATGTTTGAATCTAGTGAAAGTATTTATTTTGTGCACGTGTCAGTGTTTTGTTACAGAAGTCCACCTTTTAAACACTGGAAAGTGGTTACATTTTTATAAACAGCATGTTAGATTTCTCATTCGTATTCATGCAGCGCACCCTCGATGAGTCAGATGCAGGACCTTTTATTTTTATTTCTGGCTAGATCTGTTTGTGGGAGGAATCTTAGTTGGAAGTCCCTTAGGCAGGGAATGGTGTGGAATTTTTAAACTCCAGCTTTGCAATCATGTGAACAGGAAGAGCTCTGACATTGCTGGCCTTCTTCAGTACCGCCCAAAGCTGTGTATCTAACACAGCCTGGTCTCGGGCTTACAGCCTCCTGTCAGACACATATAGCTGCTACCAGATTCCTGATTAAAAGTTACTTAAATCATTATCATGACCCTCGGAGGTAAAGCTGATTTTTACACCTCCCCACCCTGGGATACTGGCAACATCATTGTAAACTCCAGTCACCTCAGCAGAGGCAAATCTCCAGTATCCATCACTGTCTGGGACAGATGGGACACAAATCCATGCTAGTGTTCCCATCAAGAAGAAAAGCGTTTATGGTGACTTTCAATCAACACTGTTCACAGTTTCTGGTTTAATAGAATGGAGCTTCGAAAGCACTGACTTCTCGAGCTAACGTAAACAACACAGAAAAACTATCAGTCCTCTTATTTAGAACTTGCTCCTGGTTCAGATCCCAACTGCACTTCTGATATTTACAGGTTTGGTAATATCAAGTGTTCTGTGCTAGTCCTAAGATCTATTTCAAAGTGAATTGATTTACCTTTTTGTTTTGAAAAGCAGTGACATTTAGTGTGACCAGGTCTTACTGCTGATTGATAAACCAAATCCATAAAACATTTGGATAAATTATGGCTTCTAAAATGGGTGAGAATGATGATAGACCAGACAACCTAAAGTCCAAAACTAGTCATTATTTAAGGCCTCACTGCAGTATTCCGTGACTACATGTCCGTGAAAGTGAATCGGGCCTTGAGACTGTGTGCTGAATGTAGCCTGCTCCTCTAATCACAGCAGAGGCAATGATTTTGAGGCTGAGGGAGGGGTAATGCTGGTCTGAGAGGTGAGGTGGCAATGTTGAATGGTCGCTTTGTTCTCACTGTATCCCAACGAGGTAACCAGTTAACTGAAGTTTGTCCATTCTAACCTGTCCCATGGCTGAATAACTCTACATGTCTTTATATAATGGCTCTTTATGTATCTTATTCATGAATCACTCTGTATATGATCATTTCTTTAACTATCTTCTACAACTGAATGTTCAACTCAAGCCTGTCAACCCCACACTTGAAGGTGGTGCCCAGATTCAGCAGACGTTAAACATTGAATGTATCTCTGACTTTGCCGAGGTGCCAATCCTTGGGATCCAGTTCAGGTAGAAACCTGTGGTCAAAGCAAGCATGCAGACATTGGAGTGGGAAAAGGCTTGCTCTGCTTATCCTCTCATCCTCCTCTTGTGGTTTTCGTTCACACAGACATGACGGTGTGCTGCAGAACATCTCTGTTAAGCTGCCTATCACAGTGAACAAGTTTCTCCAGCCCACAGATATGTCATCTGAGGACTTCTTTCGACGATGGAAGCAACTAAACAGGTGAAAGTGACATAGTGACTGACTATATTCAGCCTAGTACCTAGGCAGATATCTGATCAGGAAGGTAAGAATCTGCCACAGCACCGGAGGACTGTCTACAGTTCTGATTCTGTATTTAAGGCAGGATATATTGGCATTGGATGCAGGTCAAAAGAGATTTACTAGGCTGATTTCAGGGAGGAAAGGGTTGACTTATTCCTAACAGCATTGTGGGTCTACCTACAACAGTGGTTCAAGAAGGCAGCTCATCATTTTTTAAAGGGTAACTAGGGTTGGGAAATAAATGGGCCCACATCCCACGATTTAAAACAAAAATTCCTCCCTGGAATAATAGATAATGCTGAATTCTCTCAACCCCCAGTTGAAGAATGACCAGTGCCATATTAACACTACTCCTGTGAGGAGAGAGTGTGGAGAGATGGTTGCTGGAGATGCTGTCGCACTGACTGTCAGAGGGTCAGTACTGAGGGAATGCCACACTGTGGGAAGATCAGTACCAGTTTTCCATTCTGTCCTGAAAGTCTGTCTGGCATCTCTATCTGAGGACTTCCCAGGACTACAGCTCAGCTATGGAAAACTTGTCATTCTCCAGGTCTGAAATTCCCAAGCAGCTGTTTCCAGCACTGGTTCCCTCAGCTCTACTTCAGCAGATTCACCCTGTGCTCCCTCCTCATGGCACTCTACCCTGCAATATATGCCTAAACTCTCATTTCACCTTCTGATGCTGTGTGAACCCTGAGCTGTTTTTCTTCTGCTTTATTAATACTTGACCAGCAGTTTGACAGTCAATCACATTTTCACAAGCCTCTTGGCATAGACAGTTGGGTTTATGTTTCACTGTTGAGTACTCTTTCTGCATTGTTCTCTGAATGGGAAGAATTACAATATAAACATTGTGCAGATTCTCAGAATTCTCATTCCATTGCTGAGTTTTATTTATAAAATGTTTTCTCCCTGTGTGCAGCCCACAGCAGGAGGTGCAGCAGATATTTAAGGCAAAGTATCCAATGGATCCAGACGTGACTAAAGCAAAGGTAAAAATCAAACTTGAACCTGGATTTAAAAATGCTGAACATTGTCTCCAGACTGGAACATTGGCCTCTGTACAAGAATATCTGAATCAAATGCTGTGGGTATAAGCCCTAATCCACAGCAGTGTAGGCTGTGGTCAGTACTGAGGGAGTGTTGCAACGTCAGCGGGTCAATACTGAAAGAGTGGTGCACTGTCAGAGCGTCAGCGCTGAGGGAATGCTGCACTGTCGGAGCATTAGTACTGACGGAGTGCTGCACTGTCAGAGGGACAGTATTGTGGGTGTGTCGCACCATCGGAGGGTCAGTACTGAGGGAGTGCTGCACAGTTGGAGGGTCAGTACTGAGGGAGTGCTGCACTGTTGGAGGGTCAGTGCTGAGGGAGTGCTGCACTGTCGGAGGGTCAGTGCTGAGGGAGTGCTGCACTGTCGGAGGGTCAGTGCTGAGGGAGTGCTGCACTGTCGGAGGGTCAGTGCTGAGGGAGTGCTGCACTGTCGGAGGGTCAGTGCTGAGGGAGTGCTGCACTGTCGGAGGGTCAGTGCTGAGGGAGTGCTGCACTGTCGGAGGGTCAGTGCTGAG